AATTTATTTCCCTTAAAACATAATTTTGTTTCCCTTGAGACCGTTTCTCATGAAACAACATATATTTTTGAGATCATTTCCCTTGAAACAAATTCTATCTCTTTCAAGACAACTTCTCTTAAAGCATCATCTGAACCGTTACACTCAGCTCAGGCACATACTTGAGATGGTCGAGAAGCATTTCTCAAATCAAAAATAGAATGTGCACATCAGATTTGAACATTTGAAGAATTCAAGATCATGGATCAAAATTTGAAGATTCAAGAATCAAGTTTCCAGACAGGCAACTGGAGATCGAGATTTCTCTCCAGAGCCCCAAGATAACATATGTTGCATATGTATTTTAGGCACACCTAAGAGCATTGCATCCATAGCATCACATATATGCATAACTTTTTCAGGTTTTAGCTAGAGTCAATTTCAACTTCGGGGCGAAGGATATTGAACTCAAAGCGACACAATTTGCTCGAGAGTGGATTTCAACTTCACGACGAAGGATATCTAGCTCTAAGCCAAACTTCACAATAAAGGGGTCTCCACGGTTTCAACTTCACGGCGAAGGAAATTGTGTCCACCCGCAACATACAATACTTGGATTTCAACTTAACGACGAAGGATATTCAAGTCAAGGCTCAACTTCACAACGAAGGGGCCATCCGCGATTTCAACTCCACGACGGAGGATATCGTGGCACTCGAGACAACGCAAGTTCAACTTCACGACGAAGGGACCGCTGCTTGTCAACAACAACTTCTCAATTTTAGAGCCAATTTCAACTTCACAACGAAGGATATTGGACTTCAGACAACGCAAGTTCAACTTCACGACGAAGGGACCGCTGCTTGTCAACAACAACTTCCCAATCGCAGAGCCAATTTCAACTTCACAACGAAGGATATTGGACTCCAGACAATGCAAGTTCAACTTCACGACGAAGGGACCGCTGCTTGTCAACAACAACTTCCCAATCTCAGAGCCAATTTCAACTTCACAACGAAGGATATTGGACTCCAGACAACGCAAGTTCAACTTCACGACGAAGGGACCGTTGCTTGTCAACAAAATTTCATTCAGATTCAATTTCAACTTCACGACGGAGGATATTGGACTCTGAACAATGCTACTTACTTGGATTTCAACTTCACGACGAAGGATATCCAATTTCAGGCTCAACTTCACGACGAAGGGAATCTTGCACACAAGCATCATCCATCTTTAGATTGGATTTCACGGCGAAGGATATCCAACTCAAAAAGGGAGTATATGTCAACAAAGACCTTTGAGTTCGACTACGCTCAGCTCCAAGACACATCATTTACAGCATAACTCAATGCTAGAAGGGTTATCTGCCATCAAAATTGTCGAGTTCTATTCCATTCAGCTCGATGACACATCAATCGCACTACTTTCTGGTTGCAGTCGATGTTTTCAAGTCGAGAAGAGGACCTGGGTTAACCGTGCCTTAGTGACAAGCAACCATTTTCAAACAAAAGCTATATGTCAATGAAGATTTCTGAGTTCGATTCCGATCCAAGGTCTTTAAACCGAGAAGAAGATCGAAGGGCAACGAGAAGCCACGTTCTGATTCAAATTCCGAACTACAGCTTCAATTTCATATCATTCCAAGATGAACTCGACTTCACGACGGAGGAGTCATCCGTAACTCAATTCGACAGGGAGTTATTGAAACATCAGAGTCAATTTTCAACTCCACCGAACGAAAAGTGTGTCTTTTAATCTTTGCCCTATCCCCGTTACACGACTATGGGCAAAGAGGGGCAGCTGTCAACACACCTTTTCGTCCTACTAGAATTCAAACTCCTAAAGATAGGATATAATTTTGCTAGGATTCAAAAAATAGGATAGAGTTCTACTATATTTAAATTCCTAAAGATAGGATCCACAAGCACTATAAATAGCCATTGTAACTCACCATTGTAAGAGACGATTTATACACAAAACATAGAGGAAAGCACGGGAAGATACAAAGGCAAAGCTATTGTAAAGGATTCGAAAAGGAAATAAAAGGTAGCATTTTCTTTTTTTCTTTCTTTTGCATGTGCACGTTATTTTTTTGAGATTTGGTTCGAATAACCCAAAACGTGGGTTGCGCCGATGACCAAAATGGGTGGGGTTTCGAAGTTTCGAACCTAGATCTACCCCGAGGCTTATTTTTAAAAACCGGTTTGATTTTCGGTTAAAGGAGGGAAAGAGCTTTTTAAAAATCTATATTAGTCCCTTTATTTATTATGGATATTTTATTCATTATTTTTATTATTCATGTTATTATTATATATATTAAATTATTTTCATTTGATTTTTTACTATATTTTATTATTATTATATATATTTCTTTAATATTTTACTTATAAGTCTAATATTACTATATATATTAAATTATCTTTATCTAGTCGTATATATTTTTATACTTTTAATAGTTTATTTATATACATATTATTAATATATATATTCTTAATTATTTTTATTTGATTATTTCTTTATTTATGTAATATATCTTATAATTTATATATTATATTATTTTTATTATTTCATTTTTTTATTCATTATTATTATATTATTATTTTTTAAAAACCTTGTGTCTTTATCATTATCATTATTAAACATTATATTATATACTACTAACCTAGAGGGCCCATTTTTGTCTTATTTCTTACTAGAGCCCCCCATTTTCGGTGAATTGGGAGGGTAGCTTTTCTATTTTAAGTATTTGGTGTACATATATAGCTTATTTATTTATTAATACTTTGATATATATATATTTTATTTTTTTCCTTTTTTCAAATATTACTATATATAATTATTACTTTACTATTTTTTCTTATCTTACTTACTTATTTTATTTATTTTATTTTTCCCTTGTATCTTATTTGTTTTCTTTACCTTGTTTATCTAACACATTTCTCGATTTTTTTTCAAATCAATCAAGGGTAAGTAATTAGGATCGAAACTTTACATTTTAATTTAACTTGTTATTTTTCTTAATTAAGACAACTGGAAATTACGTAGTACCGAAAGGGCGGTTCAAGGGTGCTAATTCTTCCTTGACCGTAACCGACTCCCGAACCCGACATATTTCTGGTAAGACGCAGATCAGGTAAGAAATAGGGTATCCGATCAACCCATTTATTTTTAAATAAATGATCGGTGGCGACTCCAATCCACATTTTTCAAGTCGAAGCCCAATTCCGGGGCCCAACCGAAAGACGGTTGCGACAATTCCAAATTTTTGAAAAAAAAAATTAAGCAAAGATAAATATTACTTTAGTAATTTTTTATGATATATTTAAACATAGTCGACTATTAACGAGAACAAAGGGAGCTATTGCTCATGACCTAATTTTTTATAGGGTACTTAATTATTCAGTCATACATTTTAATTTATAATTGAGGTTTTTAATTATATTTTTCTTTATAATTGAGACTTCTACTTTTTGTAATATCACTTTTTACCTCTATAGTTGATGCTTTTAATTTTTTTATCCCACTTTTTATATTTATATATAATTGAGATCCCTAATTTTTTCAATCTCACTATTTACCTCTATAACTGAGGACCCTAATTTTTTCAATCTCACTTTATAGCTTTATAATTGAAGCTCCTAATTTTTTCAATCTCACTTTAATAGCTTTATAATTGAAACTTCTGATTTTTTAATCTCACTTTATATTTTTATAATTGAAGCCCCTATTTTTTTTCAATCTCACCTTTTACATTTATAATTGAGGCCCTAATTTTTTTAATCTCACTTTTTAACTTTACAATTGAGACATTTAATTTTTTCAATCCCACCTTTTACATTTATAATTAAAGCCCCTGAATTTTTTAATCTAACTTCTTACATTTATAATTGAAGCCCTTGATTTTTTTCAATCTCACTTTTTACTTTTATAATTGAGGTGCCTAATTTTTTAATCTCACTTTTTACCTTTATGAATGAGACTTTTAATTTTTCCAATTTAACTTTTTACTTTTATAATTTAGGACTATAATTTAATCATTTTTCTAATATTTATTAATGTAATATTAAACTAACCATTCAATGTAATAGAATATACTTTCGTTCTATAAGAGTATTTTTTAATTTCACTTAGGACTTTAAATAAATAAATAAAAATCCCAAATAAAAGTTTAGGGTGTTTTTGGTTGGGGGAACGTGATATTTCCATGGGAATGGAATCAACATTCCCTCGTTTGGTTGGTCGGGAAAGTCATTCCTGGTAATCTTATATTATCAATAGTAGATTTTTTGGGGTATATTATCGGAAATGTCATTACTTCTCTTTCCTTAGGTATTGTTGGATTACCGATGTTTTGGACTAAAATGCCCTTAATTTTTTTTAAATATCATTATTCTGCCATTGAATAATAAAAATTCTACGAATGTTAACTACAAATTTATCCTTAAACTATTTTAGATTTACAAAAAAAAATTATAATTAAAATTTTATATGGAGTTCAGGGGTTAAAATAAAATTTTACCCTTTCATTAAACCTTTTTATATTTTCAATTTTGTAAAAAAATATATAAATTTTATGAATTTAATTTTTTTAAAGAAAATAATATATTTTCTAACTTGTTAAAAAACAAATATAATAAGGACAATTTGGTCAAATATACATTCCAATAATATTTTATTCCTTTAACCAAACACGATAATCTTACATTCCTATTAAATCAACCAAATATAAAATACAACATTTTCAGTAATTCTATTCACTGATAATCTTTTATTCCCGCTGATAATTTTATATTTCGTGAATTAAACGCACCTTATATTAGCGGCGCTCCAAAGGTATGATTGCGGGAAAGTAGGGTGTAAAATTGTGAGAATAGACGTTAAAACAGAAATAAAATTCCCGCTTACGCCAAATCCCTAATTTCAAAATTTTAAATCCCAATCCCTCCGATTCCATTTCCAATCCAAAAACCCCCTCCCTCCTTTCAAATATTTCCACCCCGCCAAACCCTTCATTTATTTATTTATTTCTTCTTCTTCTCCACCGCTCTCCACCGCACACAGTCATGGCGGAATCCTCCTCTCGTCACTACACGTACAGTCGCAAGCAGAAATCTCTCGGCCTCCTCTGCTCCAAGTAAGCCCCTCGCTTTCATCTCCTTTTTCGTCCTTCAATTCCAAGGTTAACTTTCTCTGATCGTTTCGTGTTTGGCGTTGCAGTTTTTTGAGCATGTATAATAAGGGTGGCACTGAATTCATCGGTCTTGACGAAGCCGCTGCAAAACTAGGTCTTTATCCCCCTTTATTTCTAAAGTTAGTTATGGTTTTTGTGTTTTTTTAATAATTTATTTTGGGGATGTTTTCAGGAGTTGAGAGACGGCGAATCTATGACATTGTCAATGTTTTGGAAAGTGTTGGGGTAATTTTCTTATCCATTTTTTGCTTTCTTCTTCTTCTTCTTAAATTTTGACTTTTGGTTTGGATTTAAATGTTTTTTTATTGGCATTGATATGCTTAGGTTCTCACAAGGAAGGCTAAGAACAAATATACGTGGAAAGGCTTTGGAGCTATACCTAAGGCTTTACAAGATCTGAAGGTAAATTCAAAGTTCCTTTTTACATTGTTTTGGTTAGTCTAATGTTGTGAAAGCTGGTTGTAAATTGAACTGATTTTGTTTTTTAAAATTTCTTATGTGGTTTCGTTTTATGGCAGGAAGAAGGTCTCGGGAATAATTTCAAAAGGATGGATGGAAACAACAGTGCAAAGGTAAGCATAATGTTTTTTAACTGTTTTTGTTTCTATTTACTGAATTGTTTTGTTTTCCTTATGGAAATCTTCTGATCTGGACGGTTTCAGATCTCAGATGATGACGACGATGATGAAGGGGATGAAGGCTTCACCAATCCCAACACTGGGAGCCAGACTGAGACTTCAAGATCTAGCTCTATTATCAAGTCTTCGTCCTCGAAAGTTGGTAATTTTTAAATTACATCAACCTTGTTCCTTGTAGTTCCCTGCAGCGATTTTAATTGTGGCTGTGCCTGCATTTTGGGTTGTGTTGTGTTTGTTGTAGTTATGGTCATGACTTATGCTATTGTGATCATTATGGGCATTGTTGGAGTTGATTTTCTTTTAAAAAGGAACTACTTTTTTTATATAAATAGAATAGTGGAACAATAGTGGGAAAAGTGACCCATTATTGTCGCTATTGACAGCTAAATGTTAAATTGTGGCCGCCATCCATAGTTATTGGTGTGATTTTGTTGTACCGCTATTTTTCGTTTGTGATTTCGGACACTGCTGCTACTGTTATATAACGTCTGTTATTCTGCTACTTGACCGCTATTTGAATCCATGGTTCCTAAGATCTTATGTTTTCTGTATCGATCTAAATGGTCTGTTCTGACGTTTTGTGCAAAAAAATTAAACTTTAAGAGGCTGATTTTAGTGAAAATGGTGTTTTGATATATATTATCTTCTGATGTCTGCAGATAATCGAAGGGAAAAATCCCTGGGGCTACTTACTCAGAATTTTGTTAAGCTATTTCTCTGTTCCAATGTGAGCCTTGTTCTTGCTCTTTATGAATTGCCATAGTATTCCTTTGGTTTGTTCATCATTTTGATGTTTCTTGGTAAATACTTTTCAGGCTGAATTGATTTCCCTCGATGAAGCAGCGAGGTTGTTGCTTGGGAATGCTCACAATACATCAGTAATGAGAAGTAATAAACCCCAAATTTTCCTGTTCAATGTGAATTGATAGACTTATAGAAAGGGATAACAGATCGATTAATTTGTTGTTCACTTGATGGTTCAACAGCAAAAGTGAGGCGGTTGTATGACATTGCAAATGTGTTGTCTTCCATGAATCTTATTGAGAAGGTAAACACAAAACTGAGAGCTAGAAAGGTCTTAGAATCACTTCAACTTCAATCTGTGCAGCTTGGAATTGTTATAACTTGCAGTTTAAATGAATGTCTGTGCAGACCCACACTTTAGATACCCGGAAACCTGCGTTTAGGTGGTTGGGGCTGAGGGAGAAATCCGAAAAAGGATCTGCTGATAATACCTTTGTTCTTAATGAGTCTAAGAAAAGGGTGTTCGGAACCGATGTCACCAACATCAGTTTCAAGAAGAGTAAGGTGGATTCTTCAAATGATCAAAATCCCAACCATTGCATTAAGCTGAAAAAGTACGAAAAAATTGAAATTTCGGCTGATAGAAGTTGCTCGGATGATTCGAGACAAGGTTCAAAGAGCTACCAATTTGGTCCTTTTGCTCCTATAAACTTGACCAAGATAGGTAACTCTGAGAATGGTGCAAGGCCGGTTCATGACTGGGAGAGTCTTGCTTCTACATACCGCCCTCAGTACCACAATCAAGGTAAGGTATAGATTAATTCTCGACTACACAGAACTGTGAATATCACATGCTAATTTGTTGATCAATTGCTCGTTGTTTAGAATTGTTGTCCCGATTCAAAAATCTAATTTTGTTTACATGTTTGCAGCTTTAAGGGATCTTTTCTCTCATTATGTGGAAGCCTGGAAATCATGGTACTCCGAAGTTGCTGGGAAAAACCCAATACAGAAGATCTCCTAAGAAATACCACAAGCTGCAGCTGGGAAGCATTTTTCTCCTAACCCTGAACTATCTTCTTTTGGCTATTTGGTCCCTATTTTTTTACCTTTTCTTTTAGGTATAAGAGATTGTTCTTTTGTTAGATGCATTTTCTCTTTGCACCAATTTGCTTGGCAACACATTTGTACACAAATTCAACCAAGTCCAAGCATTGTGTCCTAAACAATTTACGTAATCATTTGCCATTTATCAGTTTATATGATAAATTTGGAGAGCTATTACTTTTTTCTTTGATTTTTGTGCGGAAATAATAGACTTATCTCCTATAGACATTGTTGATCAAATCCAGGTCATCAAGAAAATAAATTGTTTTAAGTCATTGAGTTCACTTGATGAGTTTAATTATACATATAGGGTTGGAAACGAGTTGAGTCGAGCTTGAGTATTGTTAAGCTTAACTTAACTCGAAAATTCTAAAATGGAGCTTGACTTGGTTTAAAAACTCAGTTTAAAATTTGTAAACTCAACTCAAATTTGAAACAATGAATTGAGTTTTAAAAAAATCTCGAAATGAAAAAAAAATTAAACTGAATTCGATTAAAGACTTGAACTCAAACTCCACTGTCATTAAAATTTTACTATCGGAGCAAATATGAAATTTACTGTCATTAAAAATTTAATCAACAAGCAATGGAGAAGTTTGAGAGGGGAGGAGGCAACCTGTGACTTTATTTGTTCAAAATATACCGTCGCTTCACTGGAGTGGATTTAGGCAAGCCTTTGGAAGACATGGAGAGGTGGTTGATTCATTCATTGCAAGAAAGGTGTATACAGCTGGGAAGAGATTCAACTTTGTACGATTTTCAAACAAAATGGATGCAAATGGAGCGATAGAGAGGTTGAATGGTTTCATATTATATGAATTTCGGTTGTCCGTGTCATTGGCAAAATATAATGTTAGGTAGGTGTTGCAACGGTTCTTCGGGTGACCCGAGATCTTATATCGACTTAAAGTGAATTTTATTTTTTTGGAGTCACTAGAAACCTTTTGTATTAGATAAGGATGGAACCTAAATTTTACCTCTTATCAAAGATTCACGTGTACGGAAGGATGAGCACCCCACGTCGTCCTTTCGGTGTCAACACAGTTACGAGTTGTCTTAGGGCTAGTTTGGTAGGACTTTTGAAAAGTGTGATAGAAAAAAACTTTTAAAAGTGTTGTTTAAAAGTATAATTTAAAATTTAACTGTTTGAGATTGTTGTTAAAAAAACTTTTGAAAATGTTTTAAGATAACTCATTAATAATTTTTTTATAAACAAAATATTTTATTTAAAAACAATATTATCAATACTTTTTAACATGTGTATATAAAATTATTACGAAATAATAATTTAAGTAATTGTTTTGACAAAAAGAGTATTACAAAAAAAAAGATTAATGCTTGCATATTAAAGTTAATTTTAATATATAAACAATGAATTTTATTTACTTTAAGTAATTAAAATAAATTATTAAGTAATAAATTATTTTTTAAAGATGTTAAATATGAAATTATTAAAATAAAATATAAATATATAATTGAGTGGAGTCAATGCATTAGTAAGAGTAAAATTATAATTTTCTTCCAAACTCAAAATTGAAAATGAAAAAAACTACAAATCTTAGCTTTTGCGGTTGGTTTGAAACCACCGTTTCTACCATAACTTTTTTATCTTTTACCCATTTGACATTGATTTTACGGTCAAAACGGGCTTTTTAGCTAAAAGCGCGTTTAGAAAGCCACACCAAATGGGGATTTAATAGATAAAATTAAAGTTTAGGCAAAAATTTAAAGAAAATATCTAAATTATTTACCTTCGAATTTTTGTTAGTGTAAAATAATATAAATTAAAGTTATAAAAAATAAAAAATGAATGATATGAGTCTATATTGCAAATGTGAAACAAAAAGATTATGGGTACCAAAATAAAGAAATAATAAATAATATACAATATGAATAAAATGTTAAATAAATATTAATGTTCAACTTTAAAAATATAAATGAAATGAAAAAAAATTTAAAATCATGAATATAGATTGTGAATCTAAAGATATAAAAATTAAATACAAAAAGATATAAATATCAAGATTACCAAAAGTAATGAAATAAATAATAAATATATAAATTAAGAATATATATATATATATATATATATCTATCTAAACAATAATTATAAAAAAGATGAAAGAATGCTTATGAAATTAAAAAAAAAATTACTAAAAGGTACACTACATTGCATTTTCAGTTTAGTTTTCATGCATCGAGGACAATGCTTCCTTCAAGTTTTGGGGAGGTTATTGTTCATAATTAGTAATTTTTAGTTGTAGTAATGAACAATATTTTTCTGTGGTATTTTGTTTATTTTGGAGATTGTTTATGAATAATGTGAAAATGTGAAGATGTTCGATGAGGAAAAGTTTTTATGGCTGTGAATTGAACGTACATGACCATTGAGATTTGGTAGAATTGACCTTAGGCTTTGTTTCTCTGCACTCGAACCTTTACACGGTTGCATGTTCTCTATGCTTAAGAATTTTAGAAAGTTGTTATAAGAACTCTTGCATGCCTTAGTATGAAATGAAACTAATGAACGTTAATGCTAAATGAAAGCATAAACGACTTAAATTAAACTCCCATGTGATAATTGAAAATTTTGATGAATTACGAATAAATGCCAATGACATAAATTGTTTAGAGACACTCCTCTTTGCGTTGTTTGCCTGGAAACCCCCTCTTGAATAAGTGGAAGCAGTTGTATATGAGTGAATGAAAGTCTTCCCATGATGAATTTGCTTAATAGACTCGAGGATGGGGTGTTTGCTCTACTTCATTTTCAAGTCTAGGACAGTAGGTGTGATAAGCTGAAGCCCCTTGAAAATAGTGCAAAAATTTTGTTAAAGTAATGAGAGTAAAAGTTTGCTTAAATGTTAAACCCAATACCAAGGTAGACTAGAGAACTTAAAAATTTTCTAACCCTGTTAAGCATAGAATGGATGCAATTACACATACACATTCAAATAACCTAGTTTTAGGGAAAAGTTCTTGAAGTCTCGACATGTGTAGCATGTTGAAACCTATTATTTTGAGGACTGAAAATTTGCCATAGTCTATCTTGAATTAAACTGTGCCGTAGCATTTTTACTGCTGATTACTTCTCATGACTTGAGGATAAGCAATAGCTTAAGTTTGAGGACATGTTAACCCCGTAAAATGGGTATATTTCACGCTTTTAACTTGGGTTATTAAAAAAATTTGTGAAATTAAACCAAGAAACATATATCAAAATATAATTAATTTCATTAGAAGTTAAAAAGTTGGCAATCAAGAACCAATATATTAAAAAATATGTTCTATTCAAAATTATATAATATATTTGAAATATAAGATTTATTTTTTTTGAAAATTTAATATTAAAAAATGGAATTAATTGTTTGACATTTAATTAAAAAATGAATAGTTGAGTTGATAAATTTTAAATTACTCGAACCATAATTTTGTTTTATTAGCATGCACATGTTAAGTAAACCAAACTCTTATCTCAATGCTGAAAATTATGCTTTTCATTTTTCTGAAAGTTAATCTTCAAACTAATTTAATAAATTTTCAAGAAAAATATATTCTTTTACTCGTACCCGGAGTAAGCGTTAGAGTAAGATATCTTTCATACATCGATTTTTTATTAGAATTTTGAAACGGATCTAATAAAAAGTTTGAATAATTTAACTTTGGTATGAATGAAACCTCGTGTATTTGTATATAGCTTTAATGACGATTGCTTAATGTTTTTACTTGAAATAAAAATAAATACCGTGTACATGCACATGCAATGCACATAATGCCAAAACGAACAAGTCAAAATGCTTAAAATGGCACCACATATGTTTTGTTTCTTTTTCTCTTAAAGTATATATTTAAAAAATTTAATTTTAATATAAATATTTCTTAATAACTTAGAATTAAAATGAAATGGATGCATTTATATAAAATGAAAAGGTACATGAGTTACATTAATTTTGTTTTTTTATTGCAAGCCAACATTTGAACCGTAGGGGTAGGGTTTGCTGGTAAGGGAGTAGAGCATACAACCGGATTTTGCTTGCCAATAATTTTTGGTTTAACATTTTTACATTTGGATTTTGCAGGTCCATCCGGTCCACTAAACGTAATGTCAATGTCGGTGAGTTCTACGTCTTCGCATGGAATATCACTGCAAACAAGTTTGATAACTTCTGGAAGCGCAATGATACCATGAATGTTCTTGCTCTACTAGAAATCCTTCATACTCCAGTCCTAATGTTGACTACAAGTCCTCTGGGGAACCATTTAAAAATAATGACATGTTAAAATTAATTAAGATGATAGAAAGGAAAATATTCGTATATTTAGATTTATCGAGGATGAGCCACTCAATCTATTTGGTGGTTTAGTCTCGGTATTTATCAATACTTGAACATTTTCTATCTATATTAAAGGTTCGTTAATTTTTATTAGTAAAATATTTATTTATCGCATAACCTTAGATAAATAAATACAACATTCAATTATAATATTTCTTATTTCTTTCCGAAAAAGGGAAAAATTGTTGTTCTACCTTATATTAGATGGTGTTTCCCCTCGATTTGAAATGCTGAAATGTTGTCAATTTAAATGAAAATTCTTGATAAGAGATATTGTCAATTCACCGCTTTAGTTGGAAAATTGATGGATGTCATCCTATTTTATATTAGGTGGTTAACTCTCTCTAGTTAAATACAATGAATTATTAACTTCTCTCTCTAGAATTTTAATTGTTAAATGACATTTTATTTATTTAACCAAATAGGGATCATTAATTAAATTAAAATTTGAATTTATAAATTTCATTACAAAGACATTAATTAGTCGACTATGTACCGATTTCCGAGCGTTATGTAGGTGTTAACCCTTCCATAAACGTAATTGACTCCCAAACTCATTTTTTTCTAGAAAGCATATCTAATAGTTGTTTTAATAATATTTAATATTAAATTTTATTAAAATGACAAAATATTTTTGGATGGTCCAATCATACTATAAATAAAAATTGGTGGCGACTCCTTCGAACCGCATTTTTATTTTAAAATGAAAACCCAATTTTAGTCAAAACGAACCTTAAAAATTAAATTTTTGATTTTCCAAGACGTTATGACAGCTTGGGGACATTAGAGAGTGAGGTCGTTAATCGATTAATTATTGTCTTTGCAATGGAAATTATGGATTCAACTTAATATAATT